GGTCAATATTGGCCCCAAAAAACAGAGCAAAAACCTGGACATTCAGTTTATAACGCTTTGATAATCAACAGATAAACAAAGATTATAAGACCGGTCATTTATAGGACAACTGCACTAGAATTATCTCAACTAAAGAAGAGCATTCCTTGTGCACAAATTAAATAGTAAAAATATGGTGAGAAGATCAGGCATATATATATAGTGTTTATATTAGTCAGAAACATGCATAGCACGCTGCATGTAATTGTTAACATATGTGCTGTTCATATTTACAAAGCTGCAACAGTTCCGGGTAATGAGATGAGTGGGTGTAGTCAGACATTTTATGGAGCTACAAAAGATTTTTTTCATATTTCTAATGTCCATTATATATAAACACAGAAATAGCTAAAAATTGTTGGTGATTACAATTTCTTCACAGTGCCATCATAATACATGCGTGGCCTTTTGTGGCTCAACAGATGCCCAATGCACAATTTAACACGCAAATTGACGGAAAACTGTAAGTTGAGTCGACAAACAAGCTATTTTGAGGGCATGTCCTATAAAACAGAATTGCCAAAAATAGACCTTAGCTTGTGATACTTGTTTCTTGTGTAATGTAATCCTTTTGAACGTTGATCTCCATCTGAATAAAACTGTGCAGAATTTATGAGTTTGATAACTCCAAAGTGAATATAAGATAAGGTTTTTATTTAATTAAAATTTAAGTAATGTAAATTGGGAGGGATGAAAACGTCATGACAGGTATATTTAAGTGTTTTACATCAGAATGTTCATATGAACAGGTTTACATGATATACCATACTTTTTTCCCCTGTTGCATTGATGTACTTGGGTTATGGCCTAATTGTACCAGCTACAGGTATATAATCCACAGCCTAATTATACCAGCTACAGGTATATAATCCACAGCCTAATTATACCAGCTACAGGTATATAATCCACAGCCTAATTATACCAGCTACAGGTATATAATCCACAGCCTAATTATACCAGCTACAGGTATATAATCCACAGCCTAATATATATACCAGCTACAGGTATATAATCCACAGCCTAATTATACCAACTACAGGTATATAATCCACAGCCTAATTATACCAGCTACAGGTATATAATCCACAGCCTAATTATACCAGCTACAGGTATATAATCCACAGCCTAATTATACCAGCTACAGGTATATAATCCACAGCCTAATTATACCAGCTACAGGTATATAATCCACAGCCTAATTATACCAGCTACAGGTATATAATCCACAGCCTAATTATACCAGCTACAGGTATATAATCCACAGCCTAATTATACCAGCTACTGATATATAATCCACAGCCTAATTATACCAGCTACAGGTATATAATCCACAGCCTAATTATACCAGCTACAGGTATATAATCCACAGCCTAATTATACCAGCTACAGGTATATAATCCACAGCCTAATTATACCAGCTACTACAGGTATATAATCCACAGCCTAATTATACCAGCTACAGGTATATAATCCACAGCCTAATTATACCAGCTACAGGTATATAATCCACAGCCTAATTATACCAGCTACAGGTATATAATCCACAGCCTAATTATACCAGCTACAGGTATATAATCCACAGCCTAATTATACCAGCTACAGGTATATAATCCACAGCCTAATTATACCAGCTACAGGTATATAATCCACAGCCTAATTATACCAGCTACAGGTATATAATCCACAGCCTAATTATACCAGCTACAGGTATATAATCCACAGCCTAATTATACCAGCTACAGGTATATAATCCACAGCCTAATTATACCAGCTACAGGTATATAATCCACAGCCTAATTATACCAGCTACAGGTATATAATCCACAGCCTTATTATACCAGCTACAGGTATATAATCCACAGCCTAATTATACCAGCTACAGGTATATAATCCACACTAATTATACCAGCTACAGGTATATAATCCACAGCCTAATTATACCAGCTACAGGTATATAATCCACAGCCTAATTATACCAGCTACAGGTATATAATCCACAGCCTAATTATACCAGCTACAGGTATATAATCCACAGCCTAATTATACCAGCTACAGGTATATAATCCACAGCCTACCAGCTACAGGTATATATACCTAATTATACCAGCTACAGGTATATAATCCACAGCCTAATTATACCAGCTACAGGTATATAATCCACAGCCTAATTATACCAGCTACAGGTATATAATCCACAGCCTAATTATACCAGCTACAGGTATATAATCCACAGCCTAATTATACCAGCTACAGGTATATAATCCACAGCCTAATTATACCAGCTACTACAGGTATATAATCCACAGCCTAATTATACCAGCTACAGGTATATAATCCACAGCCTAATTATACCAGCTACAGGTATATAATCCACAGCCTAATTATACCAGCTACAGGTATATAATCCACAGCCTAATTATACCAGCTACAGGTATATAATCCACAGCTACTCCACAATTATACCAGCTACAGGTATATAATCCACAGCCTACAGGTATATAATACCAGCTACAGGTATATAATCCACAGCCTAATTATACCAGCTACAGGTATATAATCCACAGCCTAATTATACCCTACATATATAATCCACAGCTACAGGTATATAATCCACAGCCTAATTATACCAACTACAGGTATATAATCCACAGCCTAATTATACCAGCTACAGGTATATAATCCACAGCCTAATTATACCAGCTACAGGTATATAATCCACAGCCTAATTATACCAGCTACAGGTATATAATCCACAGCCTATTATTATACTACAGGTATATAATTACCAACTACAGGTATATAATCCACAGCCTAATTATACCAGCTACAGGTATATAATCCACAGCCTAATTATACCAGCTACAGGTATATAATCCACAGCCTGATTATACCAGCTACAGGTATATAATCCACAGCCTAATTATACCAGCTACAGGTATATAATCCACAGCCTAATTATACCAGCTACAGGTATATAATCCACAGCCTAATTATACCAACTACAGGTATATAATCCACAGCCTGATTATACCAGCTACAGGTATATAATCCACAGCCTAATTATACCAGCTACAGGTATATAATCCACAGCCTAATTATACCAGCTACAGGTATATAATCCACAGCCTAATTATACCAGCTACAGGTATATAATCCACAGCCTAATTATACCAGCTACAGGTATATAATCCACAGCCTAATTATACCAGCTACAGGTATATAATCCACAGCCTAATTATACCAGCTACAGGTATATAATCCACAGCCTAATTATACAGCCTACAGGTATATAATCCACACCTAATTATACCAGCTACAGGTATATAATCCACAGCCTAATTATACCAGCTACAGGTATATAATCCACAGCCTAATTATACCAGCTACAGGTATATAATCCACAGCCTAATTATACCAGCTACAGGTATATAATCCACAGCCTAATTATACCAGCTACAGGTATATAATCCACAGCCTAATTATACCAGCTACAGGTATATAATCCACAGCCTACCATCCACAGGTATATAATAGCTACAGGTATATAATCCACAGCCTAATTATACCAGCTACAGGTATATAATCCACAGCCTACCAGCTACAGGTATTATACCAACTACCTAATTATACCATCTACAGGTATATAATCCACAGCCTAATTATACCAGCTACAGGTATATAATCCACAGCCTAATTATACCAGCTACAGGTATATAATCCACAGCCTAATTATACCAGCTACAGGTATATAATCCACAGCCTAATTATACCAGCTACAGGTATATAATCCACAGCCTAATTATACCAGCTACAGGTATATAATCCACAGCCTAATTATACCAGCTACAGGTATATAATCCACAGCCTAATTATACCAGCTACAGGTATATAATCCACAGCCTAATTATACCAGCTACAGGTATATAATCCACAGCCTAATTATACCAGCTACAGGTATATAATCCACAGCCTAATTATACCAGCTACAGGTATATAATCCACAGCCTAATTATACCAGCTACAGGTATATAATCCACAGCCTAATTATACCAGCTACAGGTATATAATCCACAGCCTAATTATACCAACTACAGGTATATAATCCACAGCCTAATTATACCAGCTACAGGTATATAATCCACAGCCTGATTATACCAGCTACAGGTATATAATCCACAGCCTAATTATACCAGCTACATGTATATAATCCACTGCCTAATTATACCAGATACTGATATATAATCCACAGCCTAATTATACCAGCTACAGGTATATAATCCACAGCCTAATTATACAGGTATATAATCCACAGCCTAATTATACCAGCTACAGGTATATAATCCACAGTCTGATTATACCAGCTACAGGTATATAATCCACAGCCTAATTATACCAGCTACAGGTATATAATCCACAGCCTAATTATACCAGCTACAGGTATATAATCCACAGCCTAATTATACCAGCTACTGATATATAATCCACAGCCTAATTATACCAGCTACTGATATATAATCCACAGCCTAATTATACCAACTATAGGTATGTAAGCCAAAACACATGCATTTTTTTTCAATCTTTTGGTTTTTTTCATCTTGAAGATAATTGAAATTTGACACACATTTGAAATAATAGGTATAATATGATGTCATGCTGGAATCATACATGTTTCTAGTGACACCAGTAAGCTTTGATCTTCTCAGTACTATTGTTAATGTTTGATTTTTTTTATACATTTCATTTCCATTCTTTATGGGTGACCTTTGTATTTAGAGCTATGTTTGACCTGTGACGTTTGTATCTGGTTTCATCAATGACCTATGACCTTCGCATCTCATTTTATTAGATTAATGACCTATGACTTTTGCCCATACACTAGGTAACATTGGATATGACCACCCAAAAAACTGTGTCCCTTTGATTATCCATCTGATGACCCTATGACCTTTGGTTTTTTATAGATAAATCCAAACAGCAAAGCCTATAATGAGGGCGTAATTGTGGGCGACTATGTTGAAGCCATTAATGGGCAGAAGGCGGAAGGATTGCAGCATGGAGATGCCCAGCAACTCATTAAAACAGCCAATCAGGAGCTTAAACTGCAACTTCATAGGTAAGCACTACAGCAGTAAGCTTGGTAGGTAATATAGTTAGCCAATCAGAATCATTTGATGAATTTTTTTTTAAGTCCTGTGTTTTAGAGATGAAAGCCAAAATCATGAGGATATACATTGCAAGGACATCTAATATTATTGAAAAAACAACAGAACAGCATAAATGACTTAGTCATTATGTAGTGAACTAAAATGGTATTCAATATGTCATAAATGAAGGATTTGTCAGTACATTATTAATCGTTTCTTGTTTCAGATCCGGCCCCACAATAAATGGTCATGGTCAAGTGAACGGAGGTCTGCCACACAAGGATAAACACAGCATATCAGGTATACTGTCACTTTCTGTCTAGAAAATAGGGTCACTTCCTGTCAGGATAGTAGGATCACTTCCTGTCAGAATTTTAGGATCACTTCCTGTCAGGACTGTAAAGTCACTTCCTCTCTGGACAATAGAATCACATCCTGTCACAGCAACATAGTCATTTCCTGTCTGGGCAGTATGGTCAGTTGGAAGTAGGTTCACTTCATGTCAACACAGAGGGGTCATTTACTGACAGGACTGTAAACAGTCACTTCCTGTATAGCTAGTATGCATGGTCACTTCCTTTGTTGGCATTATGATCACTCAATGTCCCGGCATGCAGTATGGACACTTCAAGTCATTTTTGACAGAGCAGTTTGACCATTTCTTGACAAGTCCAGTAGGTTCCTGTCAGGTTAGTGTTGTAACTTCTTGTTCAGGCTGTGCAGTCACTTCCTCTTAGCCCATTATGATCACTTCCTGTCAGGGCAATATTTTTCACTTCCTGTTAGGACAGTATTGTCACTTCATATAAACATGTATTGCCTAAAATTGCCTGAAAAACTAAGGCAATTTTTGTTTTGAAATAGTGATAAAACCTTGATTTAGGCCAATGGAACTGTGAGTAGAGAATATACAGGTAAGAAAAAGGTATGAGGTGGCATTGTCAGCATTGTCAGCAGGACAAAAAGTATTGTAGACTGTCTTTTTTATGTCCCTCGATCAAAAAATTGGGGTCATTTTGTTTTTGTGTCATTGTCAACTTTAACCTTGCCCATAACTATTGCATCGTAAGATGTAGGGCTCTCGTATTTGGCATGTGTATTCCTTGTGTCAAAATCTTTTCGGTGGTACCAAAATATCCGTTGGAAAAAATTAACATTGACCATAATTATTGCACCATAAGAGGTAGGGCTTTCTGAATTGATCAAATAACATTTATCACATACTAAAATGAAAAACGGAATTTTACTTACTGTGTCACTACTGTTCACCATCATATTTACAAAATGAATTGCCTTGTTTTCAAAACTGTTACATAACATTTATAACTAGTGTTAAATTTGAGAGGAGTTTTTCGAACCAAAGAAATGGTCAAGATAGACATTCAAAATCACCCATGGATATCGGGATAGCATAGAGACGTTGCTGAAAGTGTATAAAATATGTATATAGTCAACAACATGATAAATGTTTTTGATGTCCCTTTAAAATCCAGATTCAGAGAAATTTATGTTAATGAAGAAAAGATTATGTAAAGCTGTAAAAATCAACACTACAGGCAGCCTCCAATCTTGTCTACAGTAAAGGCTTTACCAGTTCATGGTAAACTTTTTCAGGCATTGGGACATCAAAGATACAGAGTTTGTAAACATAAATAATGGCAATTTGTGTTATTTAGTAAACATTTTACTTGATGTGTAAACTGTACAGAATCCTGTGGATGATCTGTTCCCCAGTAAAATCTCTTCAGCATAATTCAGAGTTAAATCGACTTTCTGAAAGTAGGTTAGTGGAAGGTGTATTGGAGTCAGCCATCAGTCAGTATGCATTCTATCGATATGTTTGTCATGTTGTTATTTTGAGGTGGGGTCTCCTTGTATTAGCTGGCAGCAACCTCATTAAACAACATACAGGAGGTTTGTCACATACTATCCCCACCAACTAGGGTAAGGTAACGTGCCAAAATACGACCAGGAAAGTCTGCTGTAACACCTTATTTTCCTGTTAAGCAATATATCTCGTCTTTATCCCTTTCCCTTCCAATCCTAAGTTAACTATTGCAGTCAGACTTGTATCTGAGGATATTCTGTGATGTCTGTAGCCTAACATATTGTCCTGTATTTTCGATCGCTCACTATTGATTTTTGCATGTGATTTCTTTTCTTTTTTTTTATATGCAATATTTAATTTAAGATAATAGATTTGATTGTGCATGAATTAGTTAAGATACATGTTGCTAATCACTTAAATATTACTTGTTGTATATTCTTACCATTTTGATACATTTTCTACAGGAATATTTCCCAGCATGCCTACCAAGATTGACCAATCAGATAACACTTTGCAAAATAAAGCCTTTGTCAGGGATCCAATTTTGAATTTGCCCCACCCATCAGATCACATGACTAAGCTATATCCTGCCTCTCATTATTCTGTGAACTATTCCCCGGGACTGTACAGTTCCATGCCACTTCATATTAGCCAATCAGCTGCCATGTACAATGCCCAACCATTTTGTGTTGACCAATCAGCGGGAATGTTTCATGCCTCGTTGAAGATGATCGACCAACCACAAGGCTTGTTCAGGGCCACACTTCAGTTAGTTGACCCACCTCCCTCGGAACTTTTCCGAGCCGTACCATTTGTGATTGGTCAGTCTAAAGAAGGGGGCTGGGCGACGAAGGATGACAGAACACACGAGATGCCATGTAAGGTCATAGGTGTGAGGCATGGCTTGTTTGCTTTAACACTGATGGGTGACATGCAGTTTCCCTCACGCTTTTGTGAAGATTTCCTGTCTGATGTGCTTTTGTTTTCTTCTTTACGAGTGTGGTAGCTGTTTTTGTTTTATTTTCAGATGAAGAGTCTAGGTTTTTCATTGTGATTCTATATATAAAGAGCTTGCTGTTCAGTACAAATGTTTTCACACATGTCCAGAACACACAACACAAATATATTATTCATGATTGAAAAAATTAATGTGTATTAAAAAAGAACAGAACACTCTAAAATCATATCGTAAACATTCCTCATATTTCTGCTCGAAATCGGCTTCAGGTCCTTAAATTTGTTAATTGGACAACATTCCAGAAGCTAAGACAACCAGACCAAAATTTTATACCTTCACCTGAAAAAGAGGTTGGGGGGAAAAAACATGCATTGTCATATTGGTGTGTTTGATTATAAAATACGTAAGACTGTCCAAGAAAGAAATGATGCTGTTGTAGAGAGGTGACCTGTATAGACAAATTAACAGTAATTCAAAAAAGTTGATCACTGTTGGGATTTACTAACAGAAGTTGGTGTAGACAAATGCTTTCACTTTCAGTTTTCAAAGATTCTGTTTCAGAAGTAGCTATTACATTACCTAAGCATTAATTGATTTGTGCTTTTAGTAAAGGCAGTAGGGTTTTAGTATAGGCAGTAGGGTTTTAGTATAGGCAGTAGGGTTTTAGTATAGGCAGTAGGGTTTTAGTATAGACAGTAGGGTTTTAGTATAGGCAATAGGGTTTTAGTATAGACAGTAGGGTTTTAGTATAGGCAGTAGGGTTTTAGTATGGACAGTAAGGTTTTAGTATAGGCAGTAGGGTTTTAGTATAGGCAGTAGGGTTTTAGTATAGGCAGTAGGCAGTAGGGTTTTAGTATAGACAGTAGGGTTTTAGTATAGGCAGTAGGTTTTTAGTATAGACAGTAGGGTTTTAGTATAGGCAGTAGGTTTTTAGTATAGACAGTAGGGTTTTAGTATAGACAGTAGGATTTTAGTATGGACAGTAGGGTTTTAGTATAGGCAGTAGGGTTTTAGTATAGGCAGTAGGGTTTTAGTATGGACAGTAGGGTTTTAGTATGGGCAGTAGGGTTTTAGTATAGGCAGTAGGGTTTTAGTATAGACAGTAGGGTTTTAGTATGGACAGTAGGGTTTTAGTATGGACAGTAGGGTTTTAGTATAGACAGTAGGGTTTTAGTATGGACAGTAGGGTTTTAGTATAGGCAGTAGGGTTTTAGTATGGACAGTAGGGTTTTAGTATAGGCAGTAGGGTTTTAGTATGGACAGTAGGGTTTTAGTATGGACAGTAGGGTTTTAGTATGGACAGTAGGGTTTTAGTATAGGCAGTAGGGTTTTAGTATGGACAGTAGGGTTTTAGTATAGGCAGTAGGTTTTTAGTATAGACAGTAGGGTTTTAGTATAGGCAGTAGGGTTTTAGTATAGACAGTAGGGTTTTAGTATAGCCTGTAGTTTTTTAGTCGCTATGTCAAGAGTGTGGCTTTTCCTTGCATAGAGTGTATGTAGATGAAAGTGTATCTACATGTACAATGTGTATGTCAAAAGACATGTGTCTATCAAACAAGACATGTCTTTCACACAAGATGTGCCTATAACACAAGAAATGTATCTATCACACAATATGTATCCATCACATATGTCTATCATACACGATGTATAGATCACACATGACATATGTCTATCACACAAGGCATGTGTCAATAGTAATAGACACATGTCAATCACACAAGATGTGTCTATCACAAAAGACATCTGTATATCACACAAGACATCTGTCCATCACACAAGATGTGTCCATCAAACAAGATGTGTCTATCACACAAGACATCTGTCTATCACAAAAGACATCTGTATATCACACAAGACATCTGTCCATCACACAAGATGTGTCTATCACACAAGACATCTATATATCACACAAGACATCTGTGTGGACACAAGACATCTGTATATCACACAAGACATCTGTCTATCACACAAGACATCTGTATATCACACAAGACATCAGTCTATCACACAAGACATCTGTACATCACACAAGATGTGTCTATCACACAAAACATCTGTCTATCACACAAGACATCTGTATATCACACAAGACATCTGTATATCACACAAGACATCTGTCTATCACAAGACATCTGTATATCACACAAGACATCTGTATATCACACAAGACATCAGTCTATCACACAAGACACCTGTACATCACACAAGATGTGTCTATCACACAAAACATCTTTCTATCACACAAGTTAGTTTGATCTAGATATATCGGTCTCTAGATATTAACATTAAGGTCCCTCTGGCATTTGTTTCTAAGCAGAGACATTTTAGAGGTATAAAGAGTATGTAGAATCAATAAAACTAATTATGCGGGATGCCAGCTTCAATTATTTTCATTTTGAGTGACACAATCTCAATTCTTGGTATTCTGTAAAGTTAGCAATAGTAAATATATAGGTTGTGTGACAATGGAAGGGTCTATTTACAAATCCAAAATTTTTGATGTTTTACCTTGTCTCACAATTGCTATATCCAAAACTGTACCTTTATCTTTTGAAAATGATAATCAAGAAGTATTTGACAGAATGGTATTTGGTCACTTACATAGTTGATATTCAGATTGAAATGTTTTCATACAGTCAGTGGTTCTTGACTTAAATCAATGTTCAAAATAATAAGTGAATTTAGACCTTTAACTTAAAGAAAATTTTTTTATATTTCAATAAATCTTTATTTTGATTTAGAAAACTTAGAAAGACAATTACTATTACAGTTGAATGATGAATTAAAGATGGGATATTAATTCAAAATTCTTATATTATAACTTCCTACATACCGTTAAATAGATTATAAGGGAGCAGATTTTGCCTTTGTTTTAGATGGTTGATTTGTGAATGTTAATTCAGGTTTATGTTGCATTGGATGGGTTTAGTGTGCTGCCTGCTGTTTAGTTGAAACTTACAGATTTGTGATTTGAGGAATTTAAAAAAGATGTTGAAGAATGTATGATGGGATCAGGAAACTGAACTAGTTAAACATTACTGATAGAACTAACAACAAATATTAAAACCTATAGATTGCATGCTTAAACAGCAGAAATGTAAACTTGATGTCTCATGGCAGACTACTTAGTACCATGTTTTACTTAGAGAGCTAAGAGTGACATTTTCTGTTGGCATACTGTTTCAGGGGAGACAACTACGAAACAGTACAAACCAGTGTCTTTCGGCAGCAGCTCATCCTTGAACATAGAGAACAGAGTTAGCCCTGCCCAAATGTCCTCCGCTGCCAGTACCACCTCTGCACAGTCCCTCCCCTCACCGCCCCTCCTCGTCACGTCCAAAGGTATGTATCAAAACCATGTCTCTGTTTATAAGTTCTATCACTCTAACGAACGGATTGACATATAAACCCATTAGTCAGTGAAAATGTCATTATATGATATAGGATAACATTTTTTAGCAGCTGGTCAGCTGATTGTGTTTGAATGCTTCTCTGAGGAAATAATTTCCAAATTTTTTGACAATTTTTGTCAGAATGTAAAATAAGGGATAGATTTTCCTATCAAACAAGATTTTAATTTGAAGATAAAAAAGATTTACAGTATGAAATTTCCTATTTGATTCAATGATTTTTTTGTTGTCATACTTCATTGGAAACTGGTTTAATATATTTGAAAATTATAGCTTTTGAGATTTCTGTAAAAGTCCAGAGTTGTAATGTGAAAATGATACTGTCATTCATCGTTGATTTTACCTCTAATTTAATGTAAGTGTTTTAAATCTTTTGTGTTGGAATCAGTAAAGACAGATGCCTTGAGTGGGGTTGAAGAGTTATCTCCCCTATACTGTTACCATTTTGTATTTTCATGATAACCTTTTGCTACTCTTTGATTTCCGCTCGCACCTTTTCATAGTTATAGTGACCTACTGTTTTGACCCTCTCACTGTAATAACTTTTAGAAGTGATTTTTACCCACACACATTTTCTTATGTTTAAGGAAGTATACAAGCATTAATCTGCTTTCGTGTTCTGATTTTGTGACAAACATAAAGTATGAATGACTTGACAGATATCTTTGAAATCAGTTAAGTCAGGAATATATGAAAAACAAAAATTGAAAAAAGGAAAAAAAAAAAAAACCAAAAAAAATTGGAACGAAAAATATATTAGTAATCACCAAATTAAAAAGTCATAGATCTACTTTTTACTCATTTCAAAATTTGTATGGTCAGATTTTGCAACACACATGCTTGTATGTTACCTGTAGAAAATAGAGCTTATGTTGTGTTTATTTTTAGCATCAGGCTCCGACTCTGTCACCTCAAGTCCGAGGTTTAAATCCAAGATTATCATTCCACTCTCTCCGAAGCCTTTACAGAAAATAAGGGGTAATAAAGGGATTATCCCAGTTTAACTTAAAAAGAGTTGTTTTTTTTTTTTTTTTTTTGCTGTGTGTAGTTATTTGCATTTAGAGTTATCCCCCTCTAATAGCTCTCTAATGTTTAACAAAACCCTTCATTCAGACATGCAGACACTATATGAGCGAAATTTAGGAGAGTTCAGGTTTGTCTTATTTTTATGATTACACGTAATGTTGCTTTGCACCTTAAGCTTTTCAATTCAAATCTTTTTTTCAGAATAACTTTCTGATCCTCATTAGTTTTTTTTTCTTATCAACTTTTTTTGTTCAAAATAATTGACTGCATCATTGGTTTTTATTTCCAAACTATTTGCAAATTTCCCTTCCTTGTAGGTCTGTTTTCTAAATGTATGGAGTAGGGGGGGCATTTTTAAAACTGTAATAACATAATAAAGAATTAAATGTCTTTTTCGTGCGGTTGTTTTTGTCCTGAACAGACTGAGGTTAACATTTGACAAATTTCAAAGGAATTTGTCGAACTTAAGTTTAAGGTATTAAGTGTGAAGGAGGATTCATGATTACGCATGTTGATATTTTGTCTGAATAACTCTTAACAATGGACATTAATGGATTACTGTTGTTTCAATAAAAGAAAGAAAATGATAGAATGTGTCGGTAAGATTGATTGAGATTGAAAACTGGTACATGTATAGATTTTGTAAAATTCAAAATTATTGATGCAAAATCAAATGTGCATTTATGTGTTTTAGTGAAAAGGGCTCATGTCATTTTTAGAGGGGAAAGAAAATAGATATTCTTAAGATGTTTTCATCTTCTTTCAATTACTTGATCTTATCGAAATCTAATATCTTCACTTAAGTACTTTTCCCTTCTGCAATATGTTTCTTGTTTTTTTGTTTTTTGTTTTTTTTTTTGTGGGAGGGGGGGGGATTGGGGATCAAAATTTAGTGTTAAATGAAAATAATCCTGCTCATTATCAGAAGTGCTACATCATCTCTGTACATTCATGTGTTTGATAGATGCTTTGTTTGGAATTAGGTTCCTTTTGTTGTGGGATATGAAATGGTAAGGACATTTTCTCCTCAACTATTATATATATCATGCATACACAGGTACAAATGTCTTACACTTGGTGTGGAGGCGCTGTAACAATTGCTTGTATGGAGAGGCTCATTGATAGAAAAGGGTTATGGTCATCCTATCGGTTCCAAAGCTAAACATCAATTTACTAAAAACTGGTTGGGGACAGTATTATTTAAAAGAAGTGGGATGGATAGTTGACCCCTGCATGAAACACTGACCCTGGCTTTCATGACCTTTGCCCTTTGACATTTTTTCAAGGTCATTCCCATATTTGGCTTCACATGCATGCCAGCATACCTGTAGCTAATAAGGCATGGTATAGATTTAGCTTTAATGTTTCATATTGTTTGGCAAATTGTTTCCGCTTCAGCAGATTGGGTAATTGGGGAAAAGTAATTTGCTGTCACAATAATGTATTTGACATAACGTCTGTAGAAGTCACTTTCATACATGACATTGAAGTGACCTTCATACGTACATCAAGTCAAATCACTCTAATATTCTGGTTGTTAAACACTGAGTGAAATGCCTTCAGATCTTATTCATTCATGAATAAGCACACCATATCTATTGCTGGGCAGAGAAGAATTCTTTGTCTTATTATAAGCCCACCCCTTAACCTCAAAGCTAGAAAAGAATAGAAGTTCTTATAACACAACCACAGTAGAAGATTAGAGTGTGATATTTTGATGGCAACATGGTCACCTTCATCAGACAAATGACCAAGCGTAATAGCACAGACATACATCATGTATGGGACTATGGGAAATCAACCAATTTCTTTGACTGTACCATAATCCTATGTATACTAAGGTCAAAAATAGTGTGACGAGATGGTAAACAGATAATAGACTGAAAAATACCGTATATCAAATGGTAACTATGTTCCTAATATTAGAACTAGAAGCAATGTCTTTGTCCCCTAGGCGTATCACATGATCAATAGAAATGAAAGTCATTTTTTTCAATTTTGATAAAAAATTTTCTATAGTTATTTGGACATTTTGAAATTTCCCAAACATTTATTTTGTTGGAGTAAGCTTACATATTCAAAATGTCTGCATATATATATAAGTTACAATATCTGGATAGCTTCAAATGTTGTATTTCTATACAACATTTATATCTAGCTGTGAGGAAAATTATGAACGTTTTCATGCAATGTTTGCACATGAAGAAATAATTGAAAAAAATGATGATAACAAACATGTATTAAGCATTGCGTCCTAGGCAGTGCCTGCATGTACACAAATACTGCCTACGTTTGTTTTGGATGATATATTGATATTGTAGCATGCTATATTATGTAGGTATGATAAATAGAACTAGACAATCTTAGATACGGAGGCTGCATGACGTGAGTCTCTCTGGGGAAAAAACTTCTGAGAAATATTGTAGATAAAAACAGTCTGCAGCAACTGTTGAATTAATGCATTCCTGACTAAATATAAACTGTTTTAGCAGTGTATAAATATACATTGTATGTCTCGGGATCATTTTCCAGTTCTGATTTTATAAGATGCAACGAAAATTGGAATTTTTCATTAAAAGAAAATTTGTTTTAATGACCATGAAAACATGTTTTCAATGTTTTTATCATGGTTTTGCATGTTATATGTAATCTTTGTGTAACAGTAATAAAATTTACAACTAAAATTTTGAAAACACAGGTTCAATATATACTTGTAGAGAATGTCATGTGATTTAGATAAAAACTACTACTTATGATATCTACCAAATTGTTTTAAATTTTCTTTTAGAAATGATTTTTAGATATCTGCAGTTTTTTCTTAAATTTCTTTGTATGATATACATGACTCTCTTATTCTGTTTGACGTCTAACATTTAGATTTATGTGTAATATAGATATTGTATGCATTCTACAATAGAATTTGTTTCACTGTTGTGTCAAATTAGTGTCAAATTAGCAAAAATTCTCACGTTAACCCTTACAATGAATATCCTTGACCTCTGACCTCTTGAAAAATTGTAAAATCATTGTAATGTTTATGATGAAATTTTGTTTGGGTATTTTGGTCAAATTTTGAGGCAGGTGTTTTAGATTCTGTTAAATTAAAGACAATTGTTGTTGATAAAACAGGTTAGATAATCTAGCCATCAGGAAAAATTACACAGACATGATAAAAAAAATGAGGGTGAGTGGTGGGGGGGGGGGATAAACAGAAATATGATTAGATAAGGAACACAATCAGAATGAGGTCAGGGTTAAATAACTGAGACATGATCAGACAGTGTGAGGGGGGCTACTGGAATGTGTGATCAGAAGGATGAGGGTGGGTGGGTAACTGGGATGTGATCAGAAGGATGGGGGTGGATGGGTGGGTAACTGGGATGTGATCAGAAGAACTCCGTTCGAGGGTTGGAAACTGGGATGTGATCAGAAGGACGGGGGTGGGTGGGTGGGTAACTGGGATCTGATCATAAGGACGGGGGTGGGAGGGAGGGTAACTGGGATGTGATCAGAAGGATGAGGGTGGGTGGATGGGTAACTGGGATGTGATCATAAGGACGGGGGTGGGTGGATGGGTAACTGGGATGTGATCAAAAGGATGGGGGTAGGTGGGTAGGTAACTGGGATGCGATCAGAAGGACGGGGGTGGGTGGGTGGGTAACTGGGATGTGATCAGAAAAACAAGGGTGGGTAAGTGGGTAATCAGATGCGATCAGAAGGACGGGGGTGGGTAAGGACGGGGGTGGGTGGGTGAGTGGGTAACTGGGATGCGATCAGAATGATGGAGGAGGGTGGATGGGTAACTGGGATGTGATCAGAAGGATTGGGGTGGGTAACTGGAATATGATCAGAAGGATGAAGGGGGTATAAGTAGGATGTGATCAGAAGGATGGGGATGGGTGGGTAACTGGGATGTGATCAGAAGGATGGAGGAGGGTGGGTAATTGGGATGTTATCATAAGAATGGAGGTTGGTGGGTAACTGGGATGTGATCAGAAGGATGGAGGAGGGTGGGTAATTGGGATGTTATCATAAGAATGGAGGTTGGTGGGTAACTGGGATGTGATCAGGAGGATGGGGTTGGGTGGGTGGGTAACTGGGATGTGATCAGAAGGATGGAGGGGGCATGTAAGTGGGATGTGATCAGAAGGTGTGAGAGGGGTGGGGGGAACTAGAAGGTTGGGGCAGGGGGTTGGGGTAGTAGTGGGATGAAATACCGTACAATACAACCAGAAAAGGTGGATGAGAAATTGTCAAAATATGGGATGGTATTACTGAAGATTGATCAGAAAGAAGGATTAAATGAAATGTGATCAGAAAAGGGGAATAATTGAGAAAGGGGCAGATAACTTAAACACAATAAGAAAATGGAGGATAACTGAGTAAGTTGTTTTTGCATCACAAGCTGCGCTCAGTACGACAACTGTAACTAAGGTGGCTAGATATATCTCTCTTGTGTGTGAAGATAAAGAACAAGATAAAAAAACTTTTTTTCAAGTTCTTTGAGCAAGGGTTGACTTTAACTGTAAGACACCATAATGTATGTATTTGATATGTATGCATTATTTTGTTGTCTATATATATGTATTATAGATAAAATCATTATGAAACATGCACAAACGAAACATCTCATTTACATATATCACACTAATGCTCAGACCTGTATCAAACAGAATTCTTGAAATCCTTTTATTAATTTTCCCATATTTAGGAAATGTATTCCTAAATGAAAAGTGTCTAATAGCTTGAAAAATTGAATTGATCTTTATATATACAGGTTTGATCACTTTCATTTCATTCTTTTGTCTGAAAATTATGTACTGGATGCCATTAGCCTAGTAGGGCAGGCAAGGGAGACAACTTTCTGTGAAATATATTTCAAAGATTATGAACAGTTTGGTGTAAAATTTGTCCATCATTTAATGTATACATTATTTACGGTAAATTTCCTTTGGTTTGATTGACAACTTTGTGTAGAAATTGATCATAACATATAAAAAATACAGCTTTATATTGACTGAAATGCTAATAAACCAATTGCTGCACAGTTAAGGTCCTTCATTGTCTGAAAAAAAAAAATGTAAAAAATTGGAGTTACGTCCCTTTCCTAATAAGAGTTCTGTCCCTTTTACACCTGAATGATATTCCCTGCTATAGTTATTATGTAAGAAAGAGCCCCTTGTTCAGTTAAATTGGTCATAAATTGACTATATCTTGTTGATAATTGTTGTCAGGTAATTAGTTACGTCCAATATCTATGTATATAAAGCGTGTTGAACAGAGTTATCTCCCTTGCACTGATAGCTGAATGGTTACATTTGATACTCTGACATTGAAAGCTGTAGAGTTGTTTCCCTTGCCTGAAATGCTAGTTATTTAATATACAATCTCCTACCCTAGATACAGCATGGGACTGCTCCTCGCCGAGCCTGTGGTCCACTTCCTACTACACCAGTGACTCAAACCTGTCAACGCCCCAAACCTCACCAGGCTCGCAGCGTCGTTACTTGGCAAGACATGCACCCAAACCTGTGTCCGTAACTGCACGCCCTAGTCAAAAAATGGCCCAAAACAGGGGCCCTGGCTCTGAACACAGAGACGCCAAGTCTCGAGGCATGGAGATGTTTTTGAAGCAGATGGAAAAATTAGCAAAGATAGGCGATGATGATGATGATGATACAGACACAGGTAGAGATGGAAAGCATGGCCGTGGGATTCCAGCATGATGTTTGACATCTCCCAAACCGGCATGACCGACATCTGACCATCCATCACCATTTTGGCATGTCTTCTCAACCATTGAAACATCTGGCATGATGTTGACCTAACATTAAGGCATGATAACCTTATTATCCTTTGAACTGCATGCTTCTTGTTCCTGGTTTTTTGGTACACACACTGCACGTAAAATGGGATCGTTAAAAGTTCTTGTTTTACCCTTTCATTTGTCCCTCCCCCTCCCCTTTGGTTCCATGGATATAATTACTTTCCGTGATTTTCTCTCTTGATGTTGTGCCGATTTGTGTGGATGTTTGTTTAAGTCACATGGCTCTTTTTTTAGCCTCTACGTATCCACTGTTTTCTCTTTATTCATGTTTCTATTATGGATATTTTTTTTCTTTTCTTCAATATTTTTTTTTTTTTTTCTTCAAATTAACATTCTGCTCCTAATGCCAGTCACAAAATCTGATCCAGTTGGACATTGCTTGAGCACCAATGTTTTTTCTTTGTTGTTGCTAAAAGAAATTAATATTTGTCTTCCCGGTTACCTAATTTGTATGATTTTATTATTTCTTGTCATTTTTGTTTTCTCTAAATCTTTTTTATTTTACCCCCTAAGAATTTCTGTTGTGGTTTGATATCTGATAACATCTTCTGTAAGAACTTAAAATAAAGATGTTCAAATATAAAAAAAAAAATAATTGTGAGTTGATCATTTCATTTTGCTAGTTCTCTTTGACAAAGATGATACAGTTCGGAACATCTTTATTGTTTTTTTTATCTTTGATAAGAGCCAGTGAAAGTTGTTGCTGCATGTGGGATTTTATGCCAGAATGGAATACCGTTAAAAAAAATCATGTCCTTCATTTCATTTCATTTTTGAGGTACATATATGTGTATGTTTCTTAATTCTTAATATCTTTATTGTCTATAGTGACAGGAAGTGATGTCATTTGACCTCATTTTATTTACGTTGTTGACCTTTCTGTTTCTTCACTAGATGACACTGTTTATAGTGTCGAACCCACCCCCACAAAAAGTGCACAAGTACCACCCCAGAACCACCAGGGATCTAGTCACCATGGCAACACTCAGACATCGTTTCACATGCCAACTCCTAAACAGGACCAGCATGTAAGCGTCAGGAGTCCAAAAACAGAGACGCGTCATCAAGTCTATAATATACCTATCAAATATGAGTCACAGGCGTCACATCATCCCCAGAGTCACCAACAAGGTCAACAAGGTCAGCAAGGTCATCAAGGGTCATGGGATCAACACCAGATGCATCGACAACAAATTCAACAGGATCAGCAACCTAGACAGGATCACCTTCATCAGCACCATTTTAGCCATGGTCATCGCCTCCCCGATCAACACCACCCAAGTTTCCAGGATCAGCAACGACAGACAGGCCTGGATCAACACCATCCAGGTTACCAGGATTACCAGCATCAGACAGGCCTGGATCAACACCACCCAGGTTACCAGGATCACCAACATCAGGCAGGCCTGGATCAACACCACCCAAGTTTCCAGGATCACCAACATCAGGCAGGCCTGGATCAACACCATCCAAGTTACCAGGATCACCAGCATCAGACAGGCCTGGATCAACACCACCCAAGTTACCAGGATTACCAACATCAGGCAGGCCTGGATCAACACCATCCAAGTCACCAGGATCATCAACATCAGGCAGGCCTGGATCAGCATCAATCCCATTATTACCCGTCACAAGATCAACGTCAAATACATGAACACCACAAGCAATTTGATCATCATAAACAAGATCACAGACAAGATCACAGACAAGATCATCAGTTTGATCAGTGGCAATCACAAGATCATACCCAAAAACAGGATCAACAGGCGAGGAGTGGTCATCAGTTCCCAGACAATGAGTGGCTGCCTGATGACGGTCATCACGATCATCACTATAAAGAACGCCAACAGATCCCTATCATCAGTGCTGATCAAACAAACATACGGGACACCCCACATGTGGCACGTCAAGAAATACCTATCCTCATTGGTAAACAGGAGGACACAGGTCACAAGGACAAAGGTCACGAGAGTCGGAGTAAAGGTCGTGAGGTGCCCATACACCTGTCGCATGCAAAAATCCAGCCAAGTATCCACAAAATCCCAGTAACAGTCCAAACAACCAGCAAACCTGACCCGCCTGTGAGTCTGGAACCTCTTGAGCTCTACAACCGGCCTCCTTCCCCACCCTTTCCCGCCCCTCCATCCCCTTTCAAATCACATGTCCCCATCACCATCCAATCCACTAAACAGGAAGAGGATGTTTCATTTCCTGTTAATACATTTGATCATGTGGATAAACATCAGCCGATCGCGGAACAGGAATATCCTGCCCCGCCTCCCTTGTCTAAAGTGGATTCATCTTCTACACAACCTGAAGAGACTGTCATTCCTGTTTGTGTGAAGAGAGTACAAGGAAAGGACATAGTCAAAAACCAGAAACAAGGAGAACAAGCAATGAACATCCCTATCACTATCCAGACTTCTGATGTGGATTCCAAGGTAGAAAAGTCGGCACCAAAGGTGAAGGAGAATGTCCATATGATACCACTGACGGTACAGACCCGCGATTCAAAAGAAGACCAAAGCTTTACTGGAGAGGAAACAAAGTCACATGACTCTGGCATCACCAGTCGTGGGTCGTCTTGGCAGAGCGGAAGCTTCAGGGAACACATCAGTAGTTTTAGTCCTGGATCTTACAGTAGTACGCTTCCCCTGAAAAAGGGGGCCTCCCCAACAGGGGAGAAATTTTATGAAGAAGAGGAAGGTGACAACAGTTTTGCGACCCTGCCTGCTATAAAACCTCTCAAAACAACCAAAAATTATGACAATGACTTTCCTGTCAAGACCCACAGGGGCTATGAAAGTGATTTTGAATATGCTCCAAAGCGTAGTGGTAAAAATGGCTCCAAATCTAAGTGGAGTTCAGAAGGTACCAGTGCTGGGTCTGGTTACCAAACCGATGTGGAATTTTTTGTGAGAGACAACAGAAATCTAGCTAAGAATAAAAATAAACAGTCTTCAAAACCCTCAGACAGAGATTATATGAGCGACGCTGAGTCTGTGTCGTCAGATTTTCACTCCCGAAGAGACAACTTCTTCGGATCATCGCCGAGTAAATTCTCTTCTGGTCTCATTAGTCAGGTAACCAAGGTCAATGCTCCTCAACTCCCGCAGAAAACCAAAGTCCCACAGCATCCGAAGTTTAACCCAGACATGGAAGAGCAGGAGTTCAAATATCCAACAAGTGACAATTTCGATAACAACCAGGAGCACTATTTTTCGGACAATGATTCGTCCTTGATAGATCAGGCCTTGGACGCAGGACCCGGAGAGGATTTCTCAATTTGGTCGAGACAGTTATCAGAACAGGAGCCAGAATCCCAAGGTCAAGGCCGAGTAAGGGATTCACCAAGGGCCAGGAATTTCTGGTCAACGCAAGAGTCTCCCAAACATACGAAACAGTCTCCAGCATCTACGAGGGAAACAACAGGGAAGGAGATTTCTGTCCCTGTCAAAGTGTTGCACGGTGATTCCAGGAAGGCAGGTTATAGAGGTACAGTATATCTTTAAGCCTGCTGCCCGACGTCATCACCTCGTAGTGCATGGTCACCAGTGGTGCCCTCTAGTGAGACCTCAGTGGTACTAATGAACTAGATCACTTTGTTGCAGGGAGTACGTACTAACTCTGATATGTTGTTTAGTATTCTAGTTTGAAGCAGCTGATTGTGTTAATAGTTCCAGTCAATTCATTCACATACTCTTTTAAATCACACTAACATTTGTTTTGCCTCCATAGACACAATTATTTCTCCAAGCACAGAATTCTAATTTTAGTCAACAGCCAATCATGATGCTTCATCATTAACAACCAGCCAATCAAAGAGCTTCTTTTTTAATCTTCAGCCAATCACAGAACTTTCACTTTTGTTATCCGGCTTAACACAGAACTTGTTTTTATCCTTGAATCACAGAACTGCTTTTAACATCCCACCAAACAGCCTTCACTTTTAACCTGTAGAAAATTTCAGAACATCGCTTTTGATATATGGCCAATCAAAGAACTTCATTTTTAACATCACCCAACCAATCACAGAGCTTCCTTTGTAACAGTTAATCAGTAATAGGGCTTCAATTTAACCTCAATCCACAGCGTTTGAATGATTCATAAAACTCCTCATAAAACTTTCATTTAAGACAAGCTTCTATAGGACACCATCCACCTTACTAACTACGGTATGGAATTGTGCAAGAAGCCTGCCGAAGCCAATTGGATATGTTTTGCATGTATAAAATCAATCAATATTTGTGGTGATGATTGATATGTTCATTTCTTATTTATAGCGAAAGATGAAAAGAACAATGTTGAACATTACCTGAACAGTCAGTGAAATATATGTTACAAACATTTTTTTTAACAATTGGAAATTTATTTGTCTCTAACCGGTTCATGACTGTGGCCAGTATAATTTATCTAGTGTACTTATGTACTGTTAGTAAAGTTGATTTCGTATTTCTGTTCATTGTGAGATGGCAAATGTGTTGAATACTAAATTGGGTCATCTTCTGCATATGCGGAGTTATTGCCCTTTGTTGATATTATAGAACCGAGGTCTGACCCAAGGAGGCAGATTAATGAATTCTTGATGTACTTTACCAGACAAATTTTGTTTGGGTTTTAATTTGCATGAATGTGAGTCACTTTTGTCAGAAATGTTTTTTTACTTCTTGCAAAATTGAAGGATATGTTTCTATAAATACATAGATGTGAATGAGTTTTGTCTGTGAAATTGGAAACATAGATGCTACATTCACTGTATCTACAGAGTCCGAACTGGCAGTCAGCTGTATCAGTCATTCTTGTTGTGCCTATTTGTCTGACTTGTGGAAAGTAACATATATTTTCTAATTAAGTTGATGTCACAAGGCCATGTCTAATATAATGAGTCACTGTTCCTGATGGGGTTCGGTAGACTGATAATCAAGTTGGAATTCTTTATGGGGAGCCAAACATCCTTTTAAGTCCTGTTTACTGACACTGCCATACACTTATATAATTAAATAGAGTCTGATTCTGTATTTGAAATTAAGTTTGGTTGTGAACAGACAGAATACTAGAGGTTTTTGGTACAACGGCTACTGTTTACTACAAATAAGTTGAAGACGTGTTTGTTCAGCAATATCCAAAAAGGCATGCACCAAAAACTAGAGACAAAAGATTTACATACATGTGTCATTGTTAGGAGTCACTTAATATGTATGTTTGACAGGTGTCATTTTGAAATACTTGACACGTAATGTAAGTATTTTAAAAATAGATTTGGTGAAATGCTTGGTCACAAAAATAATGTAATACAAATCAACATCTTCAAATGTGATTTAAGACTTTACGACTTTTGTTAGATTTTTTTGTAAGACAGGTGTTTATTGTTTGTGGTGTTTACAGACAGGTGGCCTTTATTAAAAGGTGAAGATAATATAAGTAGTATTATACGTCGAAAACATCGGTGGCTTTTATAGACAAGTAGTTTATATAAACAGATGGCCTTTATAGGCAGGTATTTTATATATACATGTGGCCTTTATAGGCAGGTTTTTTGCATATACAGGTGGCCTTTATAGGCAGGTATTATTATATACATGTGGCTTTTATTAACAGGTTTTTGTTATAACAGTATCCTCTAAAGGTATTTTGTATATAAAGGCCAACTATATAAACAGATATTTAATGTTTAATCGTATAAAATATTTGGTAGTCTTTCCACTGAGACCTGGTACAGGTAAATTTGGTATTCTTACACCAAGAGTACCTACTTAGATTTGAGTTTACACTGCAAGCAAGCAACAAGTTTTCAATTTCATTTAACATATCTTTGTATTGTTTGAAATTGTGATTAAAGTTTGTAACAAATGGTGTTGGTGATTTTGATTGTGTTTTGCTGATAGTTATTACTAATCACCTTAATGTTGAAAAGTTATGTTTCAGGAACCAAATTTTTTTTTAAGTTTGTGAAATTTATGAAAAAAATGTAAAAATTCATAATTATTATTTTCATTCCATGTGTTTGGTTTGTAATTGTGCCCAAGTTTAATAGATTAAGCCTGTTGGGCTTCTTGTCTGGTAATAAGCCCATCACCTGACCTTAGTTTAGACATTATGTGCACCCCTTCACCCCTATCCTATTATCCTATAAGAAGTCCATGCTTTGATTTTAAGATAGACAATATACATTGTCCCCTTCCAAGACTTATTTTCATGTAATAAGTGAAAACCCCTGACTTTCGGTTAGATATTATGTGTTGCCCGAACTGCCCGGGCTTATTAAGGATAGGAGTAGTAACTATTTTCACTTTGTTTAATATCGACTGTCATATTTATGCTGGCTGAGGTGTGTAACATCATAAACATGGTGCCTTTTAAGTCACTGCGTGTGTTTATTATTGTAAATACCTTACCCCTGATTGCCAAGTAGAACACGACAAAGTCCAGACTCCATTGTTGTTCTGAGCAATGGCACCGTTAGATGACCCTTCCTTGATAAAAATCCTAACTCATAGATACACATGTACCAAAAATCTCTGGAATTTGTACATTTATGAGAGTTTTTTTCTGGGGGTCAGATGGAAGCAATATCAAAAGAGGGTCATATTTAGTAAGGCAGTATCTTTGGTCCTTCATTTGAAATACTGTCATGTTTCTCACCGAAAACTAGAATAAGACAAAATCTCGCAGATGTTTCTTGAGGTTTTATATATTATGTATGTGTTATGTGATAGGGATGTATTTTGAGTGCTGATAAGAAACGGTGTCATTTTAGGACTTGTGATAATAGAATTCTGTCTGGAGAAGTGATAAAATTGCCGATCGGTCATCTAAATGCCTGATCGGGTCATCTCTTAGTCCATAAATGGTTATCTTTATGTCACGTCTACTTTCTCTGTTGCAGAAGAGGATTTCAGATCCAATCATGTGCCGACATCTCACAACACCAGCCAAGGTAAGTTCAATCTAGTCATGTCACCAGAATTTTTTTTTTTTTTTCTAATGAATCTGTAGGCAAATGTTTTCAGGTCTACTGGCGTAGTCTGTCAAAATTGAAAACCTTAAAAACATGTATGTTTTTGGAGATAATGATAACTGATGTGCAGACTGTCTGGTAGATGTACATGTGATAGGTATATAATGATGAAAAAATGCTCGTAAATATGTAAGGAATAAAGATGGGAGAGATAGAAAGTCTAGGTGCATGTGTTCGATCACAAATTAAGATTGAAGAAAGTAAATCTGATCGGAAAGATCATTCATATGATACGATATAACATTGTTGTGGAGTCATCTGATTGGTAGGTTTATTGATTGATGAATTAATTTGTTTGTTCGTTCATTCATTCATTCGTTTGTTCCTTCGTTTGTTCTTTCTTTCTTTCTTTGGCAAGTCAAATACCAGGAGGTCAAAAGGTTAGAGATATTATAGTCTATTCTATTTGTTTAGGAAAATTCTACATAAAGTATTGAAAGAAAAATAAAAGTATTGTTTTAGTGTCCAAAAATATAACTTTCTCTTCTTCTTTTAAGAAAATTGTTTTAACCAGTTACACAAAAAATGTATTCTTTCTGATTAAAGGAAAAATAAAGTTCAAATAAAAAGAAAAAATGACTGATCAGTAATTATTTGAAAATTACTTAAATATAATTCATACCCAGTAAGTTCAAACTCATGTACAGAGATGAAATACCTGCCTGATCAGGAACAGTGTCTGCTATATATATGTACCTTACCAAAGAAAAAGAAAACTCACTGGCATATTGGGATGATATTGATTTGACTGTACCTTAGGGTCAGTGGAGAATTCCATTGCTGGTTTATATATGGACATTAAAATTCAATTTACTGGCAGTTTGTGGGAATGAGATACACTAGAAGTAGCCATCTATTACCACGACTGGTGTAATTTAGTCACTAATTAGTTACTATAGGTGTTACTGGTAATTAATTCTCAGCATTAATGAAGGGAACTGTAATGATATTAACTCTGTAGTACTGAGATTTTGTATTCAGAACTGTCAGATTATATGTGTGGTGTGAAATTCCTCCTCTGAAGTCTTTATTCTGTAGATTTATATTGTGCTGTTTTCACTGTTTCAAGATTCCACATCACAGCCGAATCACTTGGATCATCTTCAGCAGCCTATCAATGGAACTGGTGAGTACTCACATTGTAATTCTCCTTCCTCAGTATCCTACCCCCATCTCCACCCCTCAGTATCCTACCCCCACCCCCACCCCTCAGTATCCTACCCTCACCCCTCTGTATCCTACCCCCACCCCCACCCCTCAGTATTATATCCCCACCCCCACCCCTCAGTATCCTACCCCAATCCCCCAGTATCCTACCCCCATCTCCACCCCTCAGTATCCTACCCCCATCTCCACCCCTCAGTATCCTACCCCCACCCCCATTCCTCAGTATCCTACCCTCACCCCTCTGTATCCTACCCCCACCCCCACCCCTCAGTATTATATCCCCACCCCCACCCCTCAGTATCCTACCCCCATCCCCCAGTATCCTACCCTCACCCCCACCCCTCAGTATCCTACCCCCCACCCCCCAGTATCCTACCCCATCCCCATTCTCCCTAATTTTTTTTCTATCCTATTTCTGTTATTCGTCAGTAACCCCTTCCTACCTCCTCTTCTCCTCATCTGTGTTCTCATCTGCGGTGTTGAAATTTCTTTCTCTTTCCATTTTCCATGTATTTGTGTCTTGATCGTGGCCTCCTTTTTACAAATCTTCAACTTTTTTCACATGATATATGTTCATATGTGTGTTCTGTCTGTCTGACTTTCTCTCTGTTGTTTCACCTTGCCCCTTTCTCTCTCATTCCTTGTCTTATGACTTTTCTCCTTTATTTTTTGTTATGTCACTCTCATATTCCTCCTCTCTCAACCCTTCCCCCTTCTCTCTGTCCTTATCCATTTTCCTGTCCTCCTGTACTCTCACCTGGCCTTTAATTAAGTTTGGTTAATTAGAGAGTGTGAGCTAATGAATACCATTGTAGGTATAATACCTATAAGTATATAGCTATTTCATGGTCCAGTGCACACAGGCTAGCAGGTTTGATGGAGATATAAACACAGCTCTGTATCAAGTTTAGGATGTAAACAAAAGTGGTCAGTTATATACCCTGATCCTAGCTGAGTGGCCTGGAGTTAACTGTCCTCATCAGTTCTCATCAATACTAATGGTCAAACGTAACTGAATGGTCAAACAATCTGGATTAATACATCCTCCGGCCAACTAGTACATTTCCTATCTGTTATATGGACTGGCCGATGGATGCTATGTCAATTATAAGTTAGCCAATGTTGTGTGACCAGTAAAGAGTGGTCAGCCAGAATCTTCACAGCTGTGTCCATTAGTCATAGCACTGTGGTCAAGAAACCCAGACAAATGTGGTGGCCATTTTCTCCAGAGTTGATTTGGAATCAATAATGAGAAATATCTGTGTGTGTGAAGTTAATTTATCTGAAAGCAGCCGACATTATTCAAACTTCACCAGGAAAGTACATGGATGTTAGTGGACTGGGCAGACATAGCCTGGAAATGGGAATACCCAACAAAGCTTTGTTAGCTTCACATGTTTAATTATCAAAATGGTTTTCATCTCTTGATATTTTAAAACGGGTAAGTATTAAATGTTTCTTAGGCAGGGTACTCATTAAGGGCATGCTTTTGATCTGTTACATATCAGTAAAAAACACACAAAATCAAGCAGAGGGTTCAATTTCAGTTTTTAATCCATCTCTGAAAATTTCATTTAAATTCTCAGAATGTAGCTATTATACATGAAAATCCCATCAGCTTTTACTAAAACCCTGAAATTCTCCTGTATCATTAATGACCAAGAATTATCCGTGGTTTCAATGTTAAACTTTGCACAGATTTCATCTTTGATATTGTTGGTGAAATATATCCGCAGACAATACGGCTTTTTTAGGTAGGAGTTGCCAGGTGAGACAAGTTTCGATTACAAGTTTAAAGTGAAAAACTTGTAAATCTATAACATAAAAAATTCAAATTTACAATTGAAAATTATGTAAGTTAACTATAAAGTACACAGAATCAAATTGAAAACAAAAGATATTTGTTTTTGGAAACCAATTTGTTAAGTAATGTAAGAACTCAAAGAAAATTGAATACAATTTTAAGTGAACACAAGGTTAGTGCTCCAGACTTAACATGTTAAAGCTTTTCAGTAAGATTGGTATTATGTTCTGACCTTTCAGTAACAGGGAAATTGTATCCTAGACTCTACATGTTATTGATATGTTGAAAGACTGTTATTATGACCTAACCTTTCAGTAATACCATAAATCATATTATTTGTCTTCACATACATTTAGATATAGAAAAGAAAAGACGAAAGGAAATATTATTAAAAAGATAAAACTTTCCTACTTTATTGATCAGTTTTGTAGTAGGTTTTTTTTTATCATTTTTTGAAACAGGGAAAAATAATTTCAGAATCTTTGATCATCAAGTTGCCCATGCTTGATGTAACGATGTCTGTGGTCAGTAGTTATAATTGCAATATGTAAATGGCAATTTTGCCTGATACACAACATCAAGAAATGGGTCCATTCTCGAGGGTGAAAAATATCATGTCTTCTCACTTCTTATAGTCTTCTCACAGTCCTTTTTATCATTATTTTACTGGAGCTGAAAATAATGACTTTGTGAAATGTTGGTGTGTCAGTATTTTCTTTTTTTTTGACTTTCATTTTTATCATATATATTGATTTTATGATCATACATTTAAACTTGTATAATATATAACTTATTATGATGTCATGATATAATTATGAAATGAGGTCACATACGCTAACAGATTGTTTATGTCACAACAGACATGATAGATTAAGAGGTAAGATGTTTTTCATGGCATTACGCGGGAATTATACTCACAGGAGTTACACAGGCATAACATGCACACACAGGAATTACACACACACACCCTCACACACACAGAGAGGAATTACACAGAAATTACACACATAGGAATTACACAGAAATTACACATAGAGAAATTACAGTTATTACACACATGAATTACAGTTATAACACGCACAGGAATTGAATTACAGTTGTTACACACACAGTTATTACACACACAGGAATTACAGTTATAATACACACACAGGAATTACAGTTATGACATACACAGAAATTACACACACAGGAATTACAGTTATTACACACACAGGAATTACAGTTATTACATGCACAGGAATTGAATTACAGTTATTACACACACAGTTATTACACACACACAGGAATTACAGTTATTACACACACAGTTATTACACACACACAGGAATTACAGTTATTACACACACACAGGAATTACAGTTATTACACACACACAGGAATACAGTTATTACATACACAGGAATAACACACACACACAGGAATTACACACATAGGAATACAGTTATTGCACACACAGGAATAACACAGAAATTACACACACAGGAATTACACAGCAATTAAAGAGCTTTGTCTGTTGTAGAAATGATAACTTGTTGGTACTCTTATCAATCTATTCTACATGCTTATTACTGTTGGATGTATAGTGCCATCAAGCCAGGGTCATTTTGACGTGTGATCTTCTTGTAATAAATGGTAACTACTTCCCTGAACAACATGGGGAAGGTCCATCTCGTGCTATCCAATAAAGGGTAAAGAAACTTGCCTTAGAACACATTCTTCCGTAACATTACAGGACAGTTTGTGATATCAGTTTCCTGTAAAACAAAAACCAGCCTTGGTGAAAAACACATACCTCAAGCCTTCACCGGAGGCTTAAATACTGACCAAGCTACTCTGGCTCAAATTCAATGGAAATCTTTGTCAATTGTCTTTAAGGCTGACACTGACCATACACATGGTGAACACCATTGTGACCTATATTTATAGATATTGATTGTTTATACAAGACATCATGTTTATTCTGACCTCTCCAGGTCACATCCATAAATAAAGGATCCTACTTGAGTATTTCATGAATCTTGTACGGAAAAGAATAAAAGATTCTATTTATCACCACATATCGTTTAAAATTTTTGCAAATATTTGTGAAAGCAGTATTTCGTTCGGCTGATGTGAAATTTCAAATGGTAATTCTTCCCCCATTTCTCTTTCTTTTATCATGTCACAAAAAATATTTCACAAAGAAGTTCGGATTTCACAATTGAAAAAAACGTGAACCGTCAGTCAATCAGAGTTCCTCAAGATGTTTCTCACAGCATAACTTAAGTTAAGGTAATGGGTTTTACTACACAAGTTGTATGGTAATTGTTAATGATCAGTTTAAATTGATTGTCAGACTTTGACCTGTTTTGTCCAAAACAAATATTATTCTAAAGCTTTTCCTAACAAACGATTCCACAAGCTTCAACAAACTGTTTAATGAGTACAGAAATACACGTGAATTGTTAAAAAAAAAATAGATGAATCCATTTTTGTTATTATTTTGACCATTGTCCAGTTTTGTCCTTGAAGTTGACAGGTCAGTGAATTATACTATTGACTGTGCTACCAGATGCTATGGATTATCAATACATGGCCTGTAGGGGACTTAGAGGCGAATGTGTTGACACAGAGGTATACTTTGTCTTGGTCGAGGAGGGCTGCAATAATCCTGAACTGGAAAAAGTCGGCTCTACAAAACCTGAAGCCCTATTGATTTTGTGAATTTGACTTCCATCTGCCCGGAAGTATGAGCTTCTCATTGGAATGGTGTGTGCCTATATAGAAATCCTAGAGACACAGTGTTGGAATTTCTCCAAGCATGGACAGCTTATAACCTACATTGTTTACTGTATACACGTACTGATGCCAGAATCCGCCTCATACTTGTATCAATCTGGATAGGTTTCTGATAGTCAATGCTTAACAGATCTGGAGTTGTCTGTCAGCATGTGGAATAGATATAAAGGAATCAAGTTGGTTCGATAAAGACAAGAATTTTGTGTTTCCATGGAAAAGATTTATTCTAACACGTGGAAGTAATGGCTGAGATATCCTGAAGTGTGATACACATTTAAACAGAAAGAGATTTCTACATGTGGAGTTGATACCTTAGGTGTAAACAAGCAGTGTTGACAGGTGGTAATGAATAGGATGGAGTCTTAACTGTGACAAGCTTTTAACACATACAGGATGCGCACTTCCTAACCATCTTCTTGACAATCTAATAAAATATGGTCGCAATCATGCAGTTTTACTCGGAAGTTTGAAAGAAACTGTTTTGGTACTGATTTTTGTAAAGCTTCAATTCTCCAAGATTTGATGAAGATAAAGTCATTTCAGCATTATGTAGATAAAGCTTCTTCAGCATTATCTGGTTAAAGTTATTTCAGTATTATCTAGATAAATCTATTTCAGCGCTATCTGGATAAAGCTATTTTTAGGTAGTGATTTGAGTTAAAATACGTGGAGAACTGATCTGCATGGATATAGCTTTTTTTAGTACGAAAACTTTTCCAGGATTGTCTTGATAAAGTTATTTCAGTATTGAGTTTTGAAACTGCTGATCTAAATACTTTAAAAGTATATCTCTATGATTCTCTTATGAAAGCAGCTGTTTCTACACTGATTCTATACTGATTCTTTATCTATCTATGATAGATAGCTGTTTCTTTACTGATTATATATCTATACTGAATATATACTGATTTTTATCAATTTGGTGAGATAGCTGTTTCTATACTGATTCTATAGATTGTCGTTACTGATTCTTCATCTATGAAAGGCAGCTGTTTCTACACTGATTCTATACTGATTCTTTATCTATCTATGATAGATAGCTGTTTTTATACTGATTCTCTATATTCCCTACACTGATTCTTTATCTATTTATGATAGACAGCTATTTCTATGCTGTTTTGAAGTAATGTACTGTACTTAATGCTGATTTAGAAGAATTTGGGAGGATTCACTCATTAGGTCTACAAACACTGAACAAGAGTCACAGGACCAGTCATGTTTTATAAGTTCTTATTAATGTACAACATGATAAAACAAAAGCACTCTTTTTACAATGCTTTAATGAGACAGTGACAGGGTTATGGAGTGTTTTTGTGCTGGGAACAGAGACTTTGAGATCTGTCTAATGAATATGTCGTTTGGTGGGCCATTCACAGATAAAACAAGCGGGTTATGAATGATATCTCTGACTTGGGATACTTAATACATATGTAGCATACATCCTAGTTCCATCAGAGAGAGTGATGTTATATCTAATTGAACATTAGATTTACAAAGCTCTGTCAGCTTGCCCACTTCAGATATCAAACAAATATTCACAAAAAGCTGTTAGTTATTTTCAGATTTTTTTTTTTTTTCTTTTGGTGAATAATTTTTTTTTTTTTCCCCAAATTTTCAAACAAAATTTCATTTCATAGAGATATAATTGGTAGGTTATTTAAGACTCATTCCCCCGAGAAGTCATACTTGTTAGTTATAAAGGGTTCCCATATATAGAGATATCAGCTTCGGTACTCCCAAACCATCCATCGGGGTATGGATTTTTCCAGCTGACATTATCGCCAAGATCAGTGGTAGAACACTAATAATATTGATTTAGACAGAACAATAACACTCTTATTCGCCTTCACAACAAACTCGTCTGTATTCCGATCTGATTGGCTGGGAGGACAGTTTACTAATATGTTCATATTTATCATTAATCACAAAATCAATTCCTTCTGCAAATGTAATTTGTTACGGTGTAAAGTTCACATTTTATGGCTTTTTAAGACAGTATTTTTTAACTGCTTTCAGTAATTAATTTATTTTTCGTTTTTGTACCATTGGGTTAAAAAAGGGTTTTTATACAAACGCTGAAACAAGAAGTCAAACTAGACTTTGTTCTTTCGTAAATTTGTCGCTGAAAGAAGAAACCAAAAAAATTGAACTTCCATGAGCTTAAGATAGATTTTTGGCCTGTATTCTGTATAGATTTGGTTTAAGTGTAGGCACAACTAATGACTTTTCCATCAGCATGGTTTCCGGACCCGGATTTGGGTTTTAGACAGAATTAAGATAGAAATATTAATTTCAAAATAGCTGAATGCTTTTGATGCAATTCTCTGGTAGAAAAATGAGAAAATTAACTGAGTTTTATGAATCGGCAAGAACTTGAAATATTATCAAATGGACTTGAAATTTCGAACAACCCTTCCATAAACGATGTTTTTTTCATAGATTAGTCCAATCTATATGCATTTAACAAGATAGTAATTTTAGAAGGAAAGGGGGAGGGAGGGTTTGAGAGCAGGAGTGATTTTTGCACTTTCAAACTTTTTTCATTGATGTTGTGTTTAACAAAAGCTTTTGTGAAACAATAAGTACTGGTAGTACAATGACTGATCTGATGTGAAGGTAGATCATGAGGTGAGCAGCTTAAACCAGGACAAAATTAGAGATTTTGACTGCAATCCTTCAAGTTTTCAAATTTATTCTCTTTCTAGATTTTATGTCTTCGTAGTTATCTTATCTTGTTTTTCATTATTTCACAGATTACCCCGCCCACCTGTACAAAGAGTTACTAGACAGTCTAGTCACCGACGAATCTCACACACCTTCACAGAAGGATGATCGTGCAATTTCTCATGATTCCCCAGTCAGTCATGATAGTCCAAACGTGTCACTAGACCAATTCTCAACTTCCAAAAATGTGGCCTCAATCTGGAAACCAGGGGGCGGGCCAGCAGTCGTGAAGAAGGAGTATAAACCTATCCGAGTGACGTCGGATAAGTCTCCTTCTGACAAATCATCTGTAGGGATCAACGAAAGGTCTCCGATTGGACAGACAGATGTTTCTGATAGTTCTAGGTCTCAGCCTATTAGACAGGTAACATATCATCAAATATAACATTACTGATGATTCTCCTGTTTCAAAGAGTGCTTTAAATCTCACATTTGTTATCAGTAATTATACAATATTTAAAGTACTTTTTATATAAAAGGTCATTAGAGGTCATTTATATGTATTTGAAATTAGAAGATTTACTTGTACATTTTTTAAATTTCTTTTTTTTTCAGCAAAAGGATATTGGTGCATTAATTTCAAAGGAGGTGAAAAATTGGAAACCTCCACAAGAAGAAAGAGTTCCTAACTCTGGGGCTGCCGACGAGAGAGTCCCACAAACACAAGCTTGGGCTGAAAACAATTATTTCACCCATCCTGAACCTTATACAGAACCTTACACGGAACCATATTCGGACCCCTTCCCGGAAAAAATACCAGATCCCGTGTCAGAACAGGACACAAAGCCAGTGCGGATCGACAAGCCCCGGGAACATTCAGCCAGTAGTGCATTTGGACGTGAGGGTGAGGAGGAGGAAGACATGAATCACCTACCCCCAACACAAAGCCCCTTCATCACCCTTCTTCAAAAAAGCAGACGTAAGCATTGTCCGTGTTTATTGGAAGGAAAATCTTTGTAAGAGATTATAAAGCAGTCGTCTTTTCTCTCTCCCCAGAGCTGTCTTCCACATCAAAAAATTTGTCTCACTGGTCTCGCGATTGTAAAAAAGTACAAATTTGATACCAGTACATACCCCTAACCAATCATCATTTGTACCAGAATATTTTTGTTTCTGTGTTATATTTTGTTTTTGAGCGGAAAAGTATAGAATTGACACCAAATACAAGAAAACCGTATTTGTCATTAAATAAGCCCAACAGGATGGAGGGGCAATTCTTAGAATAAAGTGGGCTTTTATTGTGTGATACAGCATTTATACTGATATAGTAGTTGTGGGAGGAGTTATATGACGGATAAATACGGTACCTTGGAGAAGACACCTATATATTATTTGTCCATACCTTGATTTATCGGAATGATTGAATCACAGCTGTTACACATAAACCACATCTGAATTTCCACTTGTAAAGAGTATGTGGACTGTGACTTCAGTCTCTGGGTTAGCTGTTTCTATTAATACTCTCGATATATCAGTTTTGTAACAAAATGTTAACAGACATTGAACTCAAAGTATCCAGGGATTGAAGTCTGGTGGTTCATATTATAGATATAAAGAAGTTTGTTCTATATATGTACCGCAGTAGCTGTATGATCGTAATTCAGTTGTCTTTGTCCTCAAATTGTTAAATATCAAACACCTGCATCAAACAAAAACTCTAAATCTCAAAGGGTTAACCAACAAAATGTCCTTCTACTGAGGAATAGAAAGAAGATAGAAGAGAAGATCGTTGTTGAGTAGAAGTAATCGTTAATATAGATTGTTCACTTTAATCAAAATGTTGGCTTTTCAAAAATGAAATGTTAATGGAAACTATTTTTAAAAAGCCTTGAATAGAGAAGATAAAAGTGAATAGCTTGTCAGACAAGTGTTTTGTACTGCATAATCCACTTTGTCAAATAGAACACTAAACATGATAAAATACAAATATTGACATTTATTTTACAACAAATTTTCCACTGTCGCTTACTGCCTGCCAATGTAGTGGCTAGTGGGAATTACAACTAGCCCAAGGGGAATAACCCAAGCCAGACAGACATTGATTTCATCGCTGGACGCACGCACATAGCTTCAGGGACCTAATTACAGTGCAGGCCCTAATATTGTGTATTGAACTCAAAGGCATATGTATAACTATGTCTGGGACCTTCTCTATTGATTTTCCGTCCATAATATAGAACATTTAAAGTCATTTGGTCTTAATATGTTTGGAGACTTTCAATCAGTTTAAAGGCTTTAGATCCTAGGATATCAATCCAAAGTAATTCATTGTTGTCTGTTTATAGACAGAGATTTTAAAGCACAGAGCCACATATGACAAGTTTTTTTTATGTTTCATTTAATTTTTTTTTCAATTTTGTCTTTTTTTGTTTCTATAAGCAATTATTTTAATGATCTTTAAACAGATAACGGTAGTCAGAATCTGCAATAGTTACATTTAAACATTCTTGTTGTTGTAACAATCAGAAACGTGAAACAGATTCCCTTCCTTATTTAGTGTGCGTCATCATCATTGCTTCAAAGTTATGCTAAAGGAAATTTTCTATGGCAGCTGTTTATCAATAAATCTTTCATTCTTTTAACTTTTATATCTCGGCTATAGATAAGATATACTTTGTAAAAGAAAGAATAATTGATTTACATAAGTATCCTGATCAACCATATTGTCTTCTAACATTTTATTGACACTATGAGGTCATTTCAAGGTCAAATTTAGATTTAAAAAATTCAAAGTCAAACCAAGATCACATTGTGAAGATGGCTATCTGCTGTATGCTAAGGACACATGATGAGAGTTTGAATTGTACATGTAGAATGAGGTAGACAGGGTGCTTTTTATGAGATTATATAACAAACTGATGTGGCTGTTATCTAAATGTATATGGTTATGTTATGTAGATGGAATCAATTTGGATACATAGTTTTCAAAAGGAGGAATTTCAAAAGAAAAAAAAAACTTGACTTTCTAAAAGGAGACTAGGTATTTGATATTAGGAGTGAAAAATGTAAACGATGAAAACAAATTCCTCTTGAAAGTAAAGAAAACATTGAAAAATGCCATTATACAAAAAGTGAAATTAAGGAAAAAAGGCTGATGAAATTTATTTAAATTCTAAAAAAGAGAGAGTTGAGAGATTATTATTGAGTTTTATAATGTAATGCAAAACAGTAAAAGAATGAAAAAAAAATGTTAAAATCTTATTGAGGTTTTCTTTGATATGTTATCGATGAAATCGGTTTTGTAGTGTGGGGTATCTTATTGGGTTTTTAAATGAAATGAATATTGTAGGTAAATTGATCTGTCGTGAACAGAACAGGTACAATACCTGTCCATGGTTATTCTTAATGTCAGCTGAAGTTTACACTCTACAAATATGTATGTATCAGTTAATATAATACCTAGCCAGGGATCAAGTTCCCTGTAGTGAAACATGAGGTTGAGATTTTAATTAATTTGAATGGACAGTACAATAACACTAAGTCATTGGAGTATCATTACAGTGTACTTAAACAGGTTAACAGTCAAACATTTGTATAATGTATTTTGGCTCTATCTACTCTTTCCCAAGTATTTGTGGTCAGTTCGTGTTTTGATAACTGAAACTACAGGTAATTTAGACCAATTACTACAGGTAGAAGTACACCTCTGCCTAAAACGTGTATCTACCTGGTGTATTTGCACCTGTACTTTCTTGAAAGGGTATAAATAGTATCAAAATAATGTTTTGATAAGATTGCCAAGCGGTTTTACAGGAACAGAGACCAGTTATACGTAAGATGATGTGATCTGCTTATTCAAACTCAGGTAAACTATGTATATATACCTTCGGGTTTGGGGCCAACACGATAAGCTTGTGGAATTAGCTTAATGTGGTATACCTGTGTTATGACACAGTCTTACCTGGCCGTTTATACATCTGTGTGTGTATACCTAGGGGGTAGAACAGTACACCAACTGCTTGGTCGAGTCCACAGTTTGGAGGACCAGTTGGCTAATACAACAAAACAAACCATAGATTATTGATTTGATCACGGTACATCGATAATAATATACCCCTAAGATTGTCATGTGAGAGAACCGTTTTGTAGCATTGACTACCTGGCGTAACCTCTGACCCGGTGACCTATGACCTTACCTGTGTTGTGACAGAGTCACTGGAGTGTGTCGGAACATTGGTAGCAGTTTTAAAGTGTCTGAGCTTTGAGGACAGGAAATATGCATGTCACCAAATAGAAAACGGACTTGTGATGTGTGGAAATCAAACGGCAAAAAGTATAGTGACAAGGATTTACTTATCAACATTGTGAATATTGTGTACACTATTTTCAGAAGCGGGACATCCCGAGGACATGAAGTTTTCTAGTCACGGGCCTCTGCCAGGGGGTAAGATTTTCAAATACTGACACCTCTGTACTGGTGATATATTCTTTAATCTCCAAAAAACCTTCACAAATTCCAGCTTCTTGGGTATCTTTACCACCAACCAAATCTCTCTTGCACAATTTAAGCTTGCCCGCCAGCCTCCAGGTCGTGCTTCTGCGCTGTTGACCTTCTGGCTGTCCTGTGTGGTTTAAATCAGTCTTAACAGTATTCCTTACCAACTATCAGGTTGTGTTAGTCAGCGTGTTTTGAGTTCTGAAAGTCATTGGCACATAACCATTACCTATGATGTATTTTTAAATGGCAGGCTTTAAAAATCTGTTTGACATTTTAACTTCTTTAATATCCTTTAAATGAAATTTTGACTTTTTTGAAAAAGAATTTTAACATTTGCTTAACTTTATTAACATTTGCTGGTTTTATTGAATAACTTTGCTCTTTGAATAATTTTTTATCACTCTTTCTGTCTCTCTCTTTATTGCTTGAATATTTCAATTTTATCAGCAAAATTTTAGCTTTTTTTTTAAATTTTCAAAAATTTGGGGGGGAAAAAAGAAAAAGAAATGTTGTGAAGTGGAAGATATCTTTTCAATAACAGCCAAAAATAATATGGTTTTAACTTGCTAGGAAAGTGGTATGATATATGCTACGTTGACAGCTTTATACTATAAGGTAATGGTGTCTGTATTATGCATTGTGTTCTTGCTTCACCTCATGATAAACGACAAGCAGAAGAGCCTCTGTAGATGTATATCAATGTATATCTGTATTGTAGCGGTGCATCAGAATTGTAAATTAGATTGCCAGGTAATTAATTACGCAGATAAAAGTGACAGCCTTATTCATGTCTTGGAATGTAGCTTGGCTGACATATAGTGTTGTATACCTCAATTGTAAGCATGGGCTAAGGACTTGTATAGTATGTGTGCAAGATATATATATATATATTTGCTACAAGATCTTAGAATTACGTATATATTATCACAGGACCTTAAGAAACATCACATTATCTCTGACTCAATATAAGGGCATGGGCTGATTACAGGACCTTATGAAGTCATTACATTACCTCTTACTCAAAATAAGGGGGTGGGCTTATTACAGGACCTTATGAAGTCATTACATTACCTCTTACTCAAAATAAGGGGGTGGGCTTATTACAGGACCTTATGAAGTCATTACATTACCTCTTACTCAAAATAAGGGGGTGGGCTTATTACAGGACAATGAAAAAGTATTCTTTATAAATTTACTGAAAAGCAACATATTGAGGGATGGGCTTATTAACAGATATGGGCTTATTGATGAAAACAATAAGTATGGGAATGCTTTATGCTGAACAGGCCAAATACAGATTGTGTTACAAATATTTATATTTAGCAATGATTAAACCTGAGAATTCCTTCGTGGATCTGTAATGTTATTCTTAGGGTGGCAGAGGCTTAATGTCTCACTTTCAATAGTAGGCTCTATTAGCTTGATGAGAGTAAAAAACACATTGTACAATAAATTCTTATGTAGCGATTTGCAATTATCATGATTTACTGAATCTTTGTTCCAAATTCCCACATGTTTAATGTTAATGAGTTAATAAGATTACACTTCACATTTTAAACTCTTTGAGATGATTTGGCGATTCCTTCCCACACATCATTGTACGAATAATGTTAAAGGAAAATGATTGGCTAAAATCACGGTAGTAATACTTTAAAGTAATCTTTTTTAACAAAAATTTACAAATTGAAATTTAAAGTTGATTCTGAATGTACATGATGTTACATTGTGTCCATGTGATAAGTTTGTGTGTATGCTAACAATGCTTTCTATTTCTGGTGACCTGAGCTTCAAAGCACTGTCAGCTTCATAACATATCTGATAACTTTTTCAGATTTATATATATATATATAAAGTATTTCAGGTTTAAAATAGATTTATGTATATTAGAAACATAACTTAAAACTAGACAGAGAATGTTTATGTCTTTGAAGAGAAGTTACAATAATAATAAGAGTTTATGAATTTCACGTTAAGCTTGCCATGCTTCTTGTTAGTTGTTTGTCATGCAGATTAATAGTAAATTACCTGAAAAGAAAAAATATGCAGACGGTTACTAATTGGTTTTGGAGATGAAAATGACAGGTGCAGTGAGTGTACATATGATATATCTACCTATATACTCACTGACCGGATATGTGTGATTTTTTACCTACAAAGGAGAATGATTTAGTTTATACTTATATTCATTGTATATATCTACACATGTCTATTGCATATTTATCCATGTCTATTGCATATTCATACATGTACATATGTATGTATGTAACGTCCAGTATATATACATATATTAATTTAGAAAGAATGAATCTGTCATGCTCGAAATAGTATTTCCGTAATGTGTCAGAAAGAATTTTACATATTTTAACAAACTTATTGTCATGCTCGTAGTAATATTTCTCTTATGTGTCAGAAAGAATTTTATATATTTTAACGAACTTATTGTATATCTGTCATGCTCAACAAAATATTTCTGTTATGTGTCAGAAGGAATTTGATTTATTTTAACAAACTTATTGTATTTTGGATTTGAAATTTATGAATTTGAATAAAGATTTGGGAAGTTTTAAAGATCAGATCGGAAAATATTTTACCGAAATTTATGACAAACACATGATATGTGCAAAGCCAATAAGAGGATAAGAACAGGTGTTTGATAATCTCTGATAAAATGTACAATTCTTTTTATTTGGAAAAACCCAAAGGCAAATACACATACACGTTTTTGGAAAAAAATGACTACCCAAAGCACTTTAAGTTTGAGTAAACACAATTTTTGGGTGAACAAAGTAAATGAACATGTATTATTTAGTACAATAGTTTGCTAACAACCATAATTGCAATATTACAGGGATTAGAAAATTACTGGAATTAAGTAAGCAAACAAAAAATTAAGCACAAGGTCTATATAAGAACACAACTTTATTGACTATTGATTGGTATGGGGAAAGTATTCTATACTTAAAAGTAAAGTAAACACTGGAGTTTCTTTGGCAGAAGTATCGGATAAACAAAGATTATGTGTCAGATATTTAGGCCATATTGGGGGTGTATTGGGGTTTAGGGGCAAATTTCTGATCTTCAGGGGGAAAAAACTCACAAAATATGATATAGGAGAGATTCTTTGTTTAAGTAGATTTGTCATACATCTGTTAGTATATCCCATATAATACTATCATTTATACTTGGAAATGATTCGTGTCTTGTCATATGGTTAAAATATTATTAGATGAATTCTACCTTTAACAGGATGTACTTCCAGATTGAGATAAAAAGTTGCAAAAGAATAAATGATATCTAGTATGAATCATAAGTTCAGACTGTATTCCATATTTGTCATCAGAAACTGTGACAGTTAGGAATGTGGCTGTGATATTTAGAGGCCACCTTGCCTACTTCTCCCTTCCACTTTCTTTTTGTCCTTCATATCTCCCAAATCTTTTCTGGGACCTACTAAAACTAGTCCTCTCCTCTCTGCTTTAGTTGTCCTCTAAGTATGTCCTTTTCCTTGTCTTTTTCTCATCCTTTTCACAGTCTCTCGTAATCTCATGGTTTTTCCTTCTGTTTTCTTGCTTTTTTTTATCTTGTAGTTCCTTTCCTTCATTTTTTCCTGTTTCTCTCTCTCCCTCATCTAGACCCTCCCCTGTCCTTTCTTTTTTCTTCATTTCACTTCCTCTTTTTGAACTTCCTGCCACTGTTCTCTCTTATTCCTTCTTCTGTCTTTTAGTATACTCCTTTACATTTTTTTCTGTCTATCCACATCTATTTTTACTTCTCACCTGGTTTTTTTTTTCTTTTGTTCATCTTTTACCTTTTCCTCTTTTATCTCTTCTGTTTCAATGGTTTTTTCCTTTTCTCGTCACTAGTTATTTTCGTATTCATTTATTCTTTCCACAATTATCTCATTGAGAAATATTCTATTTCCTTGTGTGATAAAAGTTGGACATATTTAATGCTCATTATCATTCATGTTGGTTCTGTTGCTGTTGACCTTGTTCTCATTAAAAAACATGACATATTACTTACTTGGATTGACAAAGCAGGAGATACTTATTCTTTCACCACACCTAGCCTTATTCTCCTTATACTTATTCGGGAGTCTCGGTGTAAATCTTTCTTTCGTTCATATTTTGCCTTAGTTTCATCAAATGATAGTTTGAATTGAGATTCTGTTTTTTCTATCCTATTTCTTTTACTGCTGCTAATCATTGTCCTCCTCCTCCCCCTCCTCTCCTCTTCCTCTTCCTCCTCCCTTTTTTCGTTCTCTTTCTCTTCTTCCTCTTACTTTTCCTCATCTCCTCCTCCTCTTCTTCTCCTCTTCCTCCTGTCCCTCCTCCCTTTTTTCTTTCTCGTTCTCTTCTTCCTCTTACTTTTCCTCATCTCCTCCTCCCCCTCCTCTCCTCTTCCTCTTCCTCTCCTCCTCCTCCTACCGTCTTCTCCTCTTCCTCTCCTCTTCCTCTTCCTCCTGTCCCTCCTCCCTTTTTTCGTTCTCTTTCTCCTCTTCCTCTTACTTTTTCTCATCTCCTCATCCTCCTCTCCTCTTCCTCTTCCTCTCCTCCCTACCCTCTCTCCTCTCCTCTCCTCTTCCTCTCCTCCTGTCCCTCCTCCCCCGTTCTCTTTCTCCTCTTCCTCTTACTTTTTCTCATCTCCTCATCCTCCTCCTCTCCCTCTCTCTCTTCTCTCCTCTCCTCTACCCTCCTCTCCTCCTCTCCTCTTCCTTCTTCCTCCTGTCCCTCCTCCCTTTTTTCGTTCTCTTTCTCCTCTCCTTACTTTTTCCTCTCTCTCCTCCTCTCCTCTTCCTCTCCTCTTCCTCTTCCTCTCCTCCTCCTGTACCCCCTCCTCCTCTTTTTCTTTCTCTTTCTCTTCTCTCCTCTTACTTTTCCTCATCTCCTCTTCGTTCTCTTTCTCCTCTTCCTCTTACTTTTCCTCGTCTCCTCATCCTCGTCTCC